ACCCACCCAACTTTATTCTACCTTCATCTCTATCGCGCTCCCTTCCCAAATTGCTTCAATTTCATCAAAGTTAGGGTTTAATTCTGACATGTCAATCGACGGTGGAAGATTTTATTGGGACCGAAATGATAGGAATTCGGAAGAAAAGGTCAAAGGAATTGTGATTATCTTCGCTTGGGTTTCGATTCAGGAAGCTGAATTGAAGAATTATGTTGATCTTTATGCCTCCCTTGGTTGGACCTCCCTTGTCTGCCTTGCTGATTTCACCACCCTGTAAGCTCAAATTAACTCTTATTTTAGGATTATTATGTGTTTCTCTGAGTGTGATTGCGCAAATAAATTATGATGTATCTGTCATTGTATCATTCCATTTGTTCTGTGTTTGTGGTGATACTTTATCAAAATTCAAGCTAAATTAGGAGAATTAATACTCAATTGAACTGAGTTAACCGCAAACCTATTATGGACTATGTAGTACGTTGTCATAAATTAGCGGTCATATTTATGTATTTTAAATCTGTCTACTTGCTCATGTTTAAGTACTAAAAGATGGTCTGTGTTCAACCACAGGTAAGGTGTATTAAGTTTTGCTGGTTTCGTGGTGAGTTCACATAAAAAAGAACATTAGGCACATTTTGTATTTGGCGATTCGTCTTTCTTTTAGATTATCAAAAAGCTTAATTAAAATTTGGTATTTTACAAGTGTGGTAGTGCACTGTTGTTGGTAAACTTAGTGGATCTAATTGGGCATACACAGATTAATCTTTGGCTAACTTTCTACAGATGAGAGCTTAGGTTCTTTAGAAAACATGCAAATTTGCGTCTTGACATTATAACTTCACCTAATACACTATGAAGCATTTGAAATTTCAAGAAAAGGCGAGATGCGTTTGATGTTGGACTGCTAAAGACTGATTTGGGGAATATCTGTTTTGGCTCAGGATTATCTTGCATTTTGTGTCATTCAAGGAGACAATAGAGAAGTTACGGGTCAGGGGATAGGGTAGGGTTTCTTCTTTTTCTTATCTTTAATACATTGTGATCAGGATCTTTTCCCTTGTTTTCGGGCTGCATCACAAACAGCGTACACCGATGAATATAATTTGTTGATTTCTCTTTAGTCGGTAGTTCAAAAGATTGACTCCGTGGATAATTTGTGCAGATTCATAACTGAGAAGGCTACATCACTGGCATATTCTCTTTTTAGAGAGCTCGTAAAGGTTAGCTTTTCACCTGTGCTTTTGCTGATCTTGGTATACTTTGTTCTATAGGGTTTTGCTGACAGTATAAGACTGTTAATGGCATAACAACCACATGTGAAAATTTGAGGTAAATTGGCCGAGACCTAAAAGACATGTGTGAATTAAGAGTTTGATTTGTGAAACCCCATTTTGTGAAATTCGCAACGAAGATGCTATTATAATGATGTAGTCCGAACATGCAGCAGATAGGTAAATTATTGGCCCAAATTTCCCATTTTCATGTCCTAATATTCTTATTTTTAACTGCGTAGGAACTAAGACGTCGGCCTCGTCCAGTAGTTGTTGCAGCTATGTCTGGTGGTTCTAAGGCCTGCATGTATAAGTTTTTTCAGGTATAGTGACTTCGACAATCAACCACAAGACTTTTTGATGCACACAGTTTCATTTTGCTTGCATGCATATTTTCTGTTGTGTATTTACATCTCCTATGCCACCTCGTTGAGATCTCTTGTGGCTTTGACTGAAAAATTATGTTGACCTAAGGATAAAGTTCTTAGTCTGTTGTTATTGAGAGCTATGCTTTAACACTTTCCACTTGATGCAGATTGTTAAAGGGAGATGTGAAGCTCACGTTAATCTGGTACGCCCTTCTTTGAGTGTGCTTTGAGTTTGGAATACGTACATTGCTATGTATTGGGAGATCTATATTTTCCCCTGGGATGAGTTATTGATAGCATATAACGTTTTTTTGAATCGTTCATTCTCTTTTGCAGGAGGAGAGCCAACTGGCTGTTAACTGCATCTCAGGTCAAATTTATGATTCTGGTCCTGTAGATTTTACTGCGGACTTTGGAACACAATTTGCTGTGCCTCCCACATTTCTGAAGATCCCTGGCTCCACAAAGGTGCTTTCTTTCGTTGGGAAAGGGTTTACTTCTGGACTAGATGCCTTGTTCCTTACTAGGTTTGGATCCCAGCGTTCTGAGTATTGGCGAACTCTTTACTCCTCAGTTGTAAGTTTCAGCTAGCCAGAAGTCATTAAGGCGTTCCTAATATGTTATCCTCTTAGCTGATTTATCCTGTCTTGCTGCAGAGTTTTGGGGCTCCCTCTCTCATTTTGTGCTCCGAGAATGATGATATTGCTCCATATCAATCTGTATTTAAATTTGCTCACTGCTTGCAAGACATGGGGGCGGATGTCAAAATAATAAAGTGGAAGAGTTCCTGTCACTTAGGTTAGTTGTTCTTGTGACTAGTCGCTTGCTATGTACTTTTCTTGTCATAATGTTAGTGTGCTTCTGCCTTTTTGTTCTTTGGCACATTTTGTCCTGTATCTAGCGCACGTTGCCCTTTTGGTTGTCTCATGTTCCTTGCAGATATAACATTGGTTCCAATTTTCTCTGAATTCCATGTTTTCAACATGCACAATCAGACATTTTCTGCCATCTTGCAGGTCTCTACAAGAGTGATCCAATCCGGTATGGGGCTGCTATAGATCAACTGCTTGCTCATGCAGTTTCAGTTTTCACTTGCAGAATTAAGAAACTAGGAGAGAGAAATGGCTTGGATGATATGCATGATGAGATATCTCACTTGATATGTGACCTCCAAAATGCAGCAGCTGACTCAAACGGAAGTTTTAGAAGAGTTGCAGGGGGGCCAAACGATCACTTTTTCTTGCCAAGTTCATCTGAGCATCAAAATAGTAGTGATTCTGGCTCTTCCCCGGAGGAAAGAAAAGATCTGCCTATTTGTCCAAATCCCAGTTTAAGTGCACACACTTTGCTTGGCCAAATCCTTTTTGATGCTTGTGTTCCTAAGAACATTGAAGGTTGGGATGTTAAGTTTTCTACTTCCTCGAAAGGCCAACCAACTTCCTCAGCACGTAAGCATTCACCATTAAATGCCGGGAGATTCTTCCGCCGTTCACGGTTATGAGACCGTTTCATGTGGAACTCGATTTGGCTTTTGGCATTAGTTGGAGATTACTGATTAGATTAACATCAGCATTAACCTCTACGATCTAAAGTGTTTAAGACAAATATTGGAGGTCACTTTTCCAGGTGCAACTAACAGGTTCTGATTTGGTGAGCTACTAGCAGTAGCAGAAGTGTACGGGTTGAATGAGTAACACATCTCCTATCTCAATCAGATGGGAAGACACGATGTGGTGTGTATGGGGGCTGTTAATATATGTGGTTTGGAAAGCAACTTATACCATTTGATTGGTGTGGAAAGCTTTAGCCTTCAAGCCACTTGGGACTTGCTTCTGGGGATATGCTGATAGGAACTTTGTGGGAGCCTATAGCAAGTGGTGATTTTGTATATATTGTACAGTAACATGTACATAAGGCACTTTGACTTGCTTCTGGGGATATGTTGGTACAGTATGGGAGCCTATAGCAAGTGGTGATTGTTTTTGTATTGTACAGTAACATGTACATAAGGTATCTATACTGGAGATTCGTTAGCATATAATATAAATCTTGTAGAACTTTGCTGTATAATTATGAAACTGGGTCAGCTATGTGCTCTGGCAGTGTATGTCTCGAATTTTGGCAATTTTCTCGAGCTCTACTACTGGTCAGAGAAGCATTCCCGTTTTTTTAATTTGTTGATGCTTCTGGAAGGCGCAAAATGCAATGCCAATCAATTATGCTGTAACATGGCCCAGTTACCTATCCTTGGCTTAGTGGTATCCGTGGGGTAACCTTCATAGGTATGAATTTAATTGTCATGATCTTCATTTTTTCCTTCTCTGATCTTCATATGTAATTAAAAAGAAAAAAGATTGGGTAAGCAGAAAATTAGATGCGAGTGGATCCAGGGGGACGAACCCCCCTTCCGCCGAAAAATTACACTTTATATATAAGGCAAAATTTATTTTTTACCTTTATATATTAAGTTTTGAACCCCCTTAATATAACATAAAAGTGTAGTTTAGTGGTCAAGGGGGTTCAAAACATTCATAAGGTCATAGATTCAATTTCCACTAGCTATAATTTTTTTTTTAACCCCCTTCGTGGAGATCCTGCCTCCGCCACTGAGTGGATCCACTATCAATGAAAGGAAGTTGCTTTCTCCCAGTGGAAGGAAAGGGAAGTAGTGCTTGGAATCACACTTTGCCTTGGGCTGACCCAAAGTAAGGGTGGCAAGTGGGCCGGTTAGGAGCCTGGCCCGCGAGCCCATATGGGTAGTGAGCCTAAACTGACGTACCCGTTTAAGCCCGGGATCAGGGGGCTTGAGGTCCAAGTGGGCCGGTTCATTGAATAAGCCCATTAGGCCCGGGATCGGGTCCTAAGTGGGCCGGTTCAACCGGTCCTAAACGGGCTCAAACGGGACCAACGACTACTTTTTTTTTAAAAAAAAATCCAATTTTTTTTAGCCGTTGCAACATTTAAAAAATGGCCGTTGGCCTGCAAAAATAGCCGTTTGGACTTTCTAAAATAGCCATTTAACCCTCCCCAACTTTGTTTTAACCCCAAATTTTTTATAATTACACTTTTTCCCTATTTTCAACTATAAACACCCCCTCATTCTTTCATTTTTGTTACAAAATCATCAATCTCTCTCATTTCTCAAACTCAAATTTTTAATTCAAGTTAAATCATGTCCGGTGATTCTAGATTGCGCCCATTTGTTTTGGAACACTTTAATGTGGTAGAAGAAAATGAAGAAGTTTACATAATAAAGTGCAAGAACTGTGGTCGAGTCAACACTCATCGTCCAAAGTTGGAGGGCACAGGCTGTTTAAGGAGGCATATAAAGAGTTGTCTTGCGCGTTCTCCAGACATTCGTATTTAAGATTTTAAGTTGATTTGAGACAATTTGTGTTATTTTAAAATTATTAGACGTATTATGCTTAATGTTTTAGTTTGTTAGATTAATTTGAAGTATTATGTTGAAGGCATTGAACTAGATTAATTTGAAGTATTATGTTGAAGGCATTGAACTTTAATTTGAAGTATTAAATGTAAACTTTAATGAGAAACAGTTTGTGTTTGGCTAATTAGTTTGAAAAACACTTCTAAGCAGCAATTAGTGTTTGACCAAGCTTTAAAAAACTGCTTCTAAGTGTATTTTCTCATAAGTGCTTCTCAAAAAAGTGCTTTTGGAGAGAAGCTACTTTTTTCTGTTTCTCCAAAGCTGCTTCTGCTTCTGCTCAAAAGCACTTTTTTTCCTTCCAAAAGCTTGGCCAAACACCTCAATTTTTGGCCAAACGTGTTTTTGGCAAAACAAAAAGAGCACTTTAGGCCAAAAAGAAGCTTGGTCAAACAAGCTATTAGTCTCCCTATTCCTAACTTGAGGAACCCCCAATTTGAGGCTTTAAAAATATAAAAGTTAGACTCATTGATTATCCATTGGTTACTCATTGGTTATCCATTTTCTAAATGGATAATATGGTTCTTATTCATATTTGACCCGTTTTTAAAAAGTTTATTATCCAACTCATTTTTTAATGGATAATATGGGTGGTTAACTATTTTCTTTTAACCATTTTGCCACCCCTAATTGCAACAGGTTCAACTACAGTAATAGCGTAACTAAAATAACCAAAATAAGAATACTATTATGAATAGTTTGTACATTGGATACTACATTGGATACTACATTGGATGCTACATTGGATGTCCATGTTGTGAATAACTTAAAGATTAAATTTCCTATTTTATGTCCATCATCTTTACTTTTTATGCCTATAAAAGGCCATGTAATTGCAATGAAAAATTACACCAAAGTGAAAGAAGAAAACACTTCTCCATTCTCTCTATCTCTTCTTGTTTACATTTTACTGCATTGCTTTTATTTTATAACACGTTATCAGCACGAAGCTCTAATTTTATTCTTAACTCCCGCTAAGTTGAGCCATATTTTATTAAGGTATGTATCATTATAATCATTTTATTTATGACAGTACATATCATATGCTCATTGTTTGCAGATTACTTGTGCGCTTGGGCATCTTAAATAGTTTAAGTAAATTGCAGTGATAAAATAACTATTTCCTTCTGTGCTCAACTCTTGGAGGACCTCAAAGTCATCAAACTAGCTATGCACTAATGTCATACTTATAATATTCATGGACTCCCTAGATCAAAACATATCTTTAAGGCATTTTGAAGAACTGTGAGAAATAAATTGACAAGCAATAATTTTATAGTTTAATTACTTTATATTTATTGGAACATATAAATAATGTTAGTCACGTTCAGTTCTATTAACACATATATAT